CAAGCCTTTTTACATTTAGGCAGGTTAGATTTATTACTGACTGGTAAAAGCACAAGATATTGTTTGAAAACAGCAAATTAGAGCATAAAAATGCCAAACATCTAATATAAGTAGTTAACGAAACTTATACTTACTGGTTGCAGACCAAGACTGTTACGATCACCAATACCTAGACTCTGCAAATAGAAAATAAAAAGTTTTTATAAGCTGTTAAGTAGTAAATACAAAATAATGTATTGGCTCACTTCAGCAACCGTTAGGAATTGCGTCACTTTTTCCATAAGCTCGGGAAATCTGTGATACAAATTCATTCCCATGCGACAATTCTTTCGCTTTAACGAAAAATATTTCTCTGCAAGAAAAATCCAAGTGTAAGCTAATACAAAGTTTGATTACAACATACCGATTAAATTTATCATCCCTTCATTATATGAGGCAAAGAGACGAATTAAGTCCTTGTAAAGCAAAAGAAAAACTGCATTTATTATTTGGTTGTTGAGATCTCTAGTCGAAGCCTAAGAAAATATTAGGAAATATTGAAAAAGAGAATACATCAAAGGCCAAAAGTACATTGATTTGCTGTTCTAAAACTGGTAGAGCACAGAGAAGCTGAAATAGAAAATCATTTTAAATAAAATATGTAACGCTTGTGTGAACCTAAGCTTCACAACAGTTTGGAGACAACGTATATTTGCCTGTATAATACCTTCTCCACAGGCATCGTCCTAAGGACTCCATCAGCTTTTCTGTAAATTTAAATAATCAAAGATAGCACTAAACAAAGAAATATGTGAATCAAATTGAAAAACCAGGTGTCTCTTTTAAAAGAATGAATATAAATTTAGGTGAAAATATAGAATTGGATATAGTGATACTTTTAATAAATTATTAAGAATAGGGACAGGTCAATGTACATACCCGCGCTTAACTTTGCAGAAATCAAACGCCATAGCACGGTAAGAGGCAGTTTTCTCATGGAGATAGCAGGAATATTTTCGAATATAAAGAGACATTTCATACGCTAAAGTAAGTAAGACGAAAATTGATTACATTGTGCGCTAGATTTATCATTGAAGTTGGGAAGATTAATGGGACAATTCATAGAAGCAAGATATTGAGATACTTTCTAAAAAATAAACAATTAAATACAAAAAACCTCGTTCCCAAAGTTCATTAAATTGTGTATTGTTACAAGAGATTTCATTACGATCACCCAATTCTTTTCTTGCACCCGTTCAATCAATAGACCAACCAAAAGAGGCACTGAAACATTCAGCTCGTTACTGCAATTAACTAAGTCTAGAAAAAATCAATTTAGTGAGTAAATTACAATCTATATGCTTTTTCTTCGGTGCACCAATTTCTTCCGTTGTTGCTT